GTTTTTTTCTATTTTTTGCTTCCAACCCTCTATGAGCCCCAGCCATAACATTGGTCCCATCATATCACTGTCCAGACATATATTTGGGTTGTAATCCATAATTGCAGGCTAAAACATTTGTTAACTGGTCACACAAGGATGCAGCATCTGCCTTACTGCCACAAAACTAACAAAGTGATATTTTATATCTACTTTTCCTTCAGTACACTCAATACCAACACAAGGAAGCAAAATGGCTATTTGATCAACATGGCTAATATCCGTGGTTGCATCTGCAATGACAGTAACAAAAACTTATTGTATTTGTAGCTATTAAACATGCACCTCCTGGTTTCTGATACCAAAAGACTCATAAGTTCATCAGTAGTTGTCTTGTTCAAGTATTTGATTCTCTTGGTGTCACTGATATGTTGGGCAAAAGCTGTATTATGTCTGGCAAGTAGCTTAATTATGCTCAAGTTCATATCACAATTGTTGCTCTCCAATACTTCACAGTGACTGTGGAAGGGGAGATGTAAACTAGCTAAAACTTTGACTGTGTCAAGCAATATTTTTAGTATTTCTTGCCATTTCCTAATACACTTCTACCCCGATATAACGCTGTCCTCGGGAGCCAAAAAATCTTACTGCGTTATCGGTGAAACCACGTTATATCGAACTTGCTTTGATCCGCCGGAGTGCGCAGCCCCGCCCCTCCAGAGCGCTGCTTTACCGCGTTATATCTGAATTTGTGTTATATCGGGTCGCGTTATATCAGGTAGAGGTGTATTTTCATTGATACCATGTCCCTTTGTGAACTGTGGAGCTGCTATATGACTGCATGTGTTGTTTGCTCTTCCCATTAAGAGACATCGATGTTATCATATTCTTCCCATCATTGAAAATCTATCACCCACATTGATTTGTGAGTGTCTGTACCCCTGGACAACCAACAAATGTGACAGTATGCATAATCTGAAAGATATGGGTATGCTAGGCAGTTGACATGCAAATCTACATGCAGTGCATTTTTCATTCTGTACAATGAAAATGAAAAATGGTAGTTTGTAGGAAAAAAAGGAAACTGTACAGTTGGTATATCACTTTCAGTGGACTGGCAAGAATCAATACATAAAATATACACAATAGGTCAGGTGATAACACTAAATCTGGAAAGTGACTTATCAGATGGGAACTTCAAACCTATTTCAGCAGGAAGACAGCTTTGACCTGCTTCATTGTTGACATGCTCATCTACATGATCTTTGTTTTGACTTTTTTGTTTTAAGATAATCTATGGTATCTTTGGCTTTGTTGGTTTGTAGCTCATCTTACAGGATCTTCAATATGCTGGTTCCAAGCAGAGTGTCTCTGGAGATATCATCCGCTACTACTACAGGTGCAGC